TGCCCTCCTGGAATTCACAGTTAAGTGACTTACTCAGGGTGACCCAGCTATTAAGTGTCTGAGGTTGGAGCTGAATTTAAATGTTTGTCGTACCTGGTCCATCGTTCTATCCACTTCATTCTCAAGAAGGACGAACTTTAATTAGGGGGTAACAGGGAGTCTCTGAAGATTTTTGAGCAGAGGAATGACATGATCAAATCTATGGATAAGGACAGTAAGTCTTACAGTGTATGAGGGGGTAAAGAGGCAGAGATAGGCATGAAGGCCTGTATAGGATAAAAAGGGGCTCTAGTCCCTGTCTTAGTTTCCCCAGCACTTAGTCCCCTCCTCGCCCAGAGGGGGTGCTTAATCACTATTTGCCTTGCCCAGAGTGGGTGCTTAATCACTATTTGCTGAATTCTAATGGTCGTGGGGAGCCTGCCTCCTACTGCTGCCAGTTCTGCAGATTGCCAGGCCTGGCAGAAAGCCCAGTTGACAACAGGATATCTGCAGGATGGTCTCATTTTCATACCAATAAAGACAGCAAGCCTTCCCCTAGGGCCCAACCTACAAGGTGTAGAGGTCTACGCACCAGCAGTGAGTAAGCAGGCACTGGTCTCTGCAGCAGACACACAATACTCACCTTTGACTCCTCGTGGACCCTTTTTGTGGTAAACCCAAAGGAGGCGGTCAACACGGTCAGAGAAACTGTTTTGAGCAGACTATTTTTGTTGCCAGTCACACCGGACTTTCCCGATTCCTGAAGAGCTCCTGCACCTGCTGAGTGGTGGGTCAGACTAGGAAGGCCAACCTAGGAAGTACCAAGCTAGTACTTTTACGTAACTTGGCCTGAGGTCAGGCGTCAGGCACCCTCCCAAACAGTGCCAACCAAAGACAGCCAACTGCTCCTACTAATCTAAGGTAGAAACGTGGGAGTTCAGAAGGGCTTTGGTGTTAACAGAATCACGCCCCCTCCCATATGGCTCATCAATGACCACATAACATGAGGGTGGAAAGAAACTCCAAGGCCAGGACTTCCCAAACAGATCAGGATCTAACTCGCACAGTCAATCAGCCAAAAATAAAAACTCTATCTCCTAATCTTTACAAAGGGCTCAATCTTACAAAATCCTGTCAGGAAGGTGCCATTGCCATCTCAGAGGTTAGGGGCCTGGCCCAACGTCAGGTCCCGTCCAACCTAACTCACTCCAGCATTCTTTTCACTAAACTGTGCTGGCCTTTCAACAGTGTAGCAGATACTGTGGAGAATGCAGAACAAGTACACCTGCTCACCTTCTCCCCACCAAGGACCAGTTACATGCAGAGATCATCCTTAACCGTGGGCACCAGAAAAAGCCTCTAAAGGTGAAATGGACCTCACAGGACATCTTACCCCACCACATCCTTTTACAGAGCAGGAAACTGAGGTCCAGAGACAGGAAGCAACTAAGATGACTTAGAAAGCCAGTGACAGAAATGGGACTCATGAAAAATGGACAGGGAATCAAAAGATCTGGATTCCAATCTTGGCTCTGTGGGATCTTGGGACAAGCCTCCTGGACTATGTGAGGCTCAGAGGCCTCTCCTCTATAAAAGGAATGATTTCTGAGGTCTTTTCCAACTCAATCAATGAGTTTCTTCTTACAAGTTTTCCATATAACCAAGCACTAATTGATCTTGTTTACCAAATGACTCACTCTGAACATTAGTCTAAGCAATTTCACTTAGTTAACACATATTCTAAACTAGAAAGAATAAGTGCTACAAGAATACAAGTAGCTTTTAGATGTGGGTGAACAGCAGGAGATCTACTTATTCATGAAAGTGGACGTATTCAGTCCACTCCTGCCTCTGGCCTTTCTTTGCTCACTGTTTCCTGGGCCTGGGAGATCATCCCTTCCCCTCTTTACCTGTTGAATTCCTCCCTATCCTATGTGGTCCAAGTCAATTGCCATCGCCTTTTTTCCCTGATAGCTGGCTACCAAAAAAACATCCCTTTCTAATGCATTTAGAATAATATTATCGTGTATTGCAATTTTATCTTTTAATTATACAATTGTAATAATTGCAAAATCATCTGTAATTTATCAGCAAATTTATCTTTATTCTCTGCGTACTGAAAGCTCCATGAGGGGAAAGGGTTTGCCATAACTAAATTCTTTATCTCCCCAAAGGCTAGAAGAATTGCTTTGCACCTAGTAGATAATCAATAAATGTTTGTTCTCTGTTGAATAATGATGCTACACGATGAAAATCTGCCATCCCAGAAACACTAAAGCTACTTCAATCAGGTTCCTCAAAGGACAACTGTCCAGATGGGAACAGTAAAACAGTATACTTAGACATATGGGATAGCCAGCTCAGGAAGGGAGGAGAGAGAAAATCATGAGGAAGGTAAAAGTTAAGAAACCATAAAGACTGGGCATTCGCTTAAGAGCGACCCATGAAACACACGGGCCTGTGTAGACTGTTTCCCTGCATGGCAAACACTTACACAGCCCGAATCTTCCAACTTGTTCTGGATGTCAGTCATCACTGAGAAGCAGTCAAGCAATCTCTTTCCTCTCTCCATTCTCTGCCACATGATGGGGGTCTTCAGATTGCAAGAGAACTTATAGTAATGAATAAAAGTACTGTAAATTAGCCCAAATTTAATTTAAATATCTAATTCCTGTATCCATTAAATTTTATCTGCCATCAACCTCCTGGTTCCAGGTGCTAATGGCAAACCCAAATGAAAGTCAAATACAGCCATTTGCATAAAGCATTAGGTGATTAATGGGTATTTTTCATGCAGCTGTGATCAACTCTTCAGTTCTAGAGCTGAATAATTTTTAATTGAAAACATTTATGTATGCTAATCCACATTAAATTGCATAATACCCTTCAGTTTCCCATGAATACAGCTTCAAATGCTTTTCACATTACTGGGATCAATTTCATATTTCCTGATTTTTAAAAGGCATTACTATTTTGCATTTTTGAAAATTAGAATGATTCTAAGTGATCCCATGAATCTTAAAATATAGAACCTTTTGTTATAAAAGATTAGAGTTAAACCTACCCGTATTAATAAATCCCCATTTGTGTGCCTTATTGCAGCATGGTGAATATGCGCTAATTACAAGCCATCTGAACTTGTGGCTCTCTGAGACACAAGTCATGGGGTTTAACTAGAAAAGCATTTTCTGAAAAGCCATTTATCTGCACTGAGTGAAGCTGAAGCATCAGTGGCCTGGCTCCAGTTATGATTGGGAAGACATGTCCAGACTGGTTATCTTATGCCTCTGCAGGAATTTAGGCCCTGCATTAATGCACTGCAGATAAAATCCACTTGAAAATTTCTTCCAACAGCAGGTCTAGAGTGACATTGCCTGTGTGCAAAACTAGCCAGGAGCAATGTAAAGTCAACTCTAAAATACAAACCATTAAAAAAACCAATGCTGCAGTTTGTGCCTATTGCAGGCTTCATCATGGCTGGTTTGGACAACTGAAATCAACTATTTTCTTCAAAGGGGCAATATTAGCAAAAACTTGTACTAAAAACAGGCATGCAAATTACTCTACTCCCACGGCCAGAGCACCAGCAGGAATCCTAGAGCCTTTTTTGCCATCCCCTCAAAAATGATGACTCAGGCAGATCTACCTGGTAGTCTGCTGCTAGGTAGGTAGTCAAGCTCTAGGTTGGCAAGGTGGTGAGGAGAGGCACCTTGCTATTGGCACATGGGGCTCAATGGGTATGGCCACACTAAGATTTAAATACAGGAATCTATGTTAGTCAGACCATGTCTGGAATGCTGTGTCGAGCTCCATTCTGGGCACCATATTGTAGGAGGGATACTCTTAAGCCAGAGGAGAGGGACACAACAGTGATGGGAGTTGAAATTCATTACCTTTGAGGAATCAAAAATCTTGAGATAGTTTGCTTGAAGATAATATAAGCCCTGTCTTCAGCTATCTCCAAAAGCTCTCTCGTGGAAAAGCAAACAGATATTCTGCCTCACACCAGGGAGGGCGGGTACCAATGGATCTAAGTCAGACACTGATTTTAGTTCAGTGCAAAGAAAATTTTATTGAGAAATGGTGTTGCCTCAAATCAGCCTGGGATGCTGCATACTTTGGGAGAGTTCTTGCCCAACAGACTGCAGAAAGCATTTGAAAGGGTACTGAGGAATGAAAGAGAAGCAGTGAAAGGTTCCTAAAGCCCTTGAGGTAGTGCCCAGGTGAGTGTCCTCTATGAAAAATATCCTTGGGCTCAGACAAGCCTCCCTGCCTGTTATTCCCTGGCTTTGGCCTCGTGGACCTAGTGTCCTTTTCCCAAAGTCCTTTTCCCAAGGTTTCAGTATGCTTAATAAAAACCTCAAGTGAAAAAAAAATTGGGGGGAGGGCACTGGACTAGATGACCTCTAAGATCCCTTCCAACTCTAATAATTCTGTGATCTTATCTATCTACCAACACTCCAGCTGACTGTAACTCAGAAGTTAAACAGAGAAGGAAATAACTTTATTCATCTGAGCAGCTCCTATGAAAAGACCAAAAAATAACTGATATGGCACAAACAACCAATCTAGGATTGGATTTGATGGAGCTAGCCATTTACTCCACTAACCATGGGGGCTGCTCACTGCCCGCCCTCCCCACCACCCCTAACCCCTGGGCATGGAAAGTTGATTCCTATGGGGCCTCACTGCCCTTTGGGAGCTCAAGAACAGTAGTCATGCTTGCGAAAAGTCTATGAAATAATTCTCCAAAACAGCGAGGCAAGATGTTGGACATATTCCTGTTGCACTGTGCCCAAGAGCTGAACCAGAAAACCTGACAGATGCATCCCAACTCCAGTTAAATTTGTTCAGGTTTCACATATGGGCTGCACGACATCTTAGTGCTACTTACCAAGCTCTCAATTCACCTCTACTCACTTGAAAGTCTGGGGCCCAGAACAAACCTTTAAAATAACAACCTCCCCAAAGTAACAAATCACAGCAAACCCAAGAGGAGAACAAATGCAAAACCAGGCAAAGAGCATGTAAAATATGTTTTATTGTTCTTTAAAAGGGTTCAGAGTTTGTTTGGAATCAGGCTGCACACCTCTCAATCAGTCCAACATCTCTCTTACCATGTCAAACTGGCTTCAGCTAGCAATACTTCATTAAATTCAAAAGAAAAACAATTTTACAAAAAAAAAAAATCCAGTTCTGAGAATAGTTAACATTAGTCTGCAGTTCAAAACAAAAAGAGGGCTAATATTGAGTATAGCCTTGTACACCCTTCTTATTAGACAAAACCAGGAATGTTCTCCTAACTAGGCAGGCACTGATGTTGCTGGACACTATGCTGCCCTACCTCTTAACAACAATGAAAATAAAATTTTCAAAGGCAAGAGGCTTATTATGGTATTGATGAAATAACCTTTGAGCAAACAGACAGTCTTGTCTGAGCTTTGAGGGGTGCTGTTTTGATCTTAGGCCTATGTTAAAAGGAATCTATTGGCATGTTCTAAAATAAATCTTGGATAGTACCATCATTTTTTAAACTTTAAAACCCTAGGAACAATTTAAAATGCATTATTTCATGTTTTCAGGGGGAAGGAGGAAGAGGGAAAGAGAATAATCTGCAGTTTTGCATTTAGCTAACAATCAAAACAGAAGTCTGGGAACAAGAAAAGAGGCAGTTCACATAGCCGGCATCTGAGGTATCAGTGTGAGACAAGGTACCGGCCAGTCCATTCCCACTGACCCAGCTGCTCTAAACAAATGAAAAGTTTTTGGCTCTGCACAGCAAGACACAGCAGGACAAGGTGACCTTAAGCCTGTATCTCAAGCCTCAGAAGTGGAACAATGTTACATATGCAAGTTGAGGTGAAAAAGTACAAGGGCCCTAGTCAGGGCTCTCCCACTGTACTACCAAATCGGCCTGGCTAGAGCTGCTGCCTGGGAAGGAGCAGGAAGTCTAGATTAGCACACGGAACCCTGCAAGGACCCTGCACAAATAATGCTGCACCTATCCACAAGCAACCCATTCCAGATTCCCAAGGCTCCAACTCATTCAAGGCCTCTTCTCTACCATGCCATGGCCTATGGACTAAACACTCAATAGGCATTGCTGGTTTTGAACCAGTGATTTTAATCTCAAAAAAGAATCGAGTAAGAAAAGAACAAGGCAATCAGTGGTTAAACTGAAACTGTACACAAGGGCCAGTTTGGGAATACCCACACCAGGCATTTAGTTATTCTGAAGTCCACAACTAAGGACTGTCTACTCTATCCATGAAAACTCACCCACAATACACAAACTAGTCTTGAAACAGGCATTTCAAACCATCGGTGGGCTCTGCCATTGTCCAACATCAAGTCTGAAAAATGACTACAGCTGGCATGTCTGTAATGGGTAGGAAAAAAGTATGCTAACTCCCTGCCTGGAAGGGCCTCTTGAGGAAGAGAACCAGTCTGACCTGGAAGAAGGAGGCCTTTCCTCCCACCTAGCAAAAAAGTTCATCTTCCCACAATCCACTTAGCTTTTGCTCCATATTCTTACTTAGGCAATAGAAGGAAACAGTTCATCTCTTAGCTAAGTTCTTTGGACAAGTATGAATGCACACATAACAGAAGATATACTCCTCTTAATACTACCCCCACCTCAATTACAAAACAAAAACAAAAACAAAATCTAACACAAAACAAAAAATCCAACCTTTAAATCCCCCCCCCCAAAAAAAGGATTCCTTGGCTGCTCTGCCTAATAGTAAGTTGAATTTTAAAGAAAAGAAAGACTAAAAAGAACATCTCCTTGTTATTCAAGACTAAGAACCAATCCCCTGGGCCACAGAACACAAATGCCACTGTTATTTCTAAAAGTGCCCAGTTGGGCTTAAGGCTGTCAGACTGTACACACCCACAACAACCAGGGCTCCTCCTTGCCTCTGTCCACACACACACACACACATGCACTCGAGCGCGCGCACGTGCGCACGCACATGCGCACACACACACACAAGGGGGCCAAGGGAAAGATAAGCAGAGAGGAAATGCCACAAGGAGGTGGAAGGGCCAGGCCTAACTGTCAGGTGTGTCCCCCAAACAAATGGTTTTTGCACAGGCCAATGTTCTGCTGGTTTTCCTTAGAGACCTCATTTTGAAAAAAAGTTAAAAAATATAGGAGGTTTAGAAATGATTCACCCCTGGCAGAAATTCAAACTGCAACACTGAGAGAAAATCATCCTTCACTGAATTCATCTTTTTTTCCCCCTCTCTCTCTTTAAACTTTTTATTACTCATGTCACAGAGGGCTTTTTGTTTTGTTTTGTTTTTAAAACATCAGGGCAGAGGTTAAGGAGCACTGACTCCCATCACTACTTTGATGACATAGTTAGATTCCAGATTCACATTTCCAGGTACCAAGAGTCCCCACAAAAAAAAAAAAAAAACAAAAACAAAAACAAAAAAACCACAATCAAATTCGGCTTTTTCTCTACTGAACACAGCAATGCCCATTGGTATCTCTGAAGCGTAATCGCATCTTAGGTCGGTACTTCTCAAGGTAAAGCAGCTGTTTGGAATTGAATGCTCCCCTTCTTTTTCTGAAAATAGAAGAACCATAACTTAATACGGGATAAATTCTTCCTCGCTAAATATGTTGCTGTTGCTGTTTTCAGCCCAAGGCCATTTTAAAACTCAAGACTACTAAAACGTACCTCCTTTCTCACAGGGCATCACTTCAAAACAGAAAAGGTCTACAATGAAACATTATGGTTCCCCCAGGAGAAGGAATGGGAAAATTCCCTTCAATTCACTGTGGGTGTGTCACATAAATGGCTACACTAAGATCAGAATGGCATATCTTAAGACATTTAAGAGAATAACTTTTGCCCAAAAGAGTAATGTGTTACTTCATTAGCTTACAAACTGGTATGCTGGGTGTCTTTTTCCAATAGCAATATCCATTGAAGGATAGGGAAGGAAGGGCCATGCTTCAAGACAGGAAGAAGGAGTGCCTTCTGAGAAGACACCATCCGACAGACACTAAGAAACATTTCAGAGCCTTGGTTTAGTTACATAGGGACTACTTTGCTCTTCTGAGGGTGTGGGCACAATGGTGGCTGCCAACATTTCTGGTCAGCATGCTAAACTGTGAAACAAGACAAGGTCCTCTCTAACATAATCTATAGGTTGTTACCACCCTGACTTTGGGCATGAATAACTGAGTATACAATATCACAAAGAAATTAAACAATTCTTCATACATAGTTTCTTATTTATTCATAACAGTATTGAGAGTTAGGGTCAGTTTCTAGGTTATCCCAAGCCCTGTCTGAATATGAATGACACTCACTACTTATCTATGCTGCTTCTCTTCATTTAAATCATGGGAGTATCTGAATTTGCCACACAAAGTGGAAAGTCCCCAAGTCCTTAGGATGGTGTTGCCTCTGAGAACTGGACTGTGTCTTTGTCAGCCACAGGATTTTTAGGCCAAAGACAGCAAGTTAATATGTACTGTAAATGAAATCTGTCTCTCTTCCACCTCTCATTAACCCATATCAAGGTGCTCAGAAGGCAAGACCATGAGCCTCCTGTAGTGCCTTACACCACAGGCTTGCTGAACACACAATTCCATACTTACTGTCGTATAAACTGAACTGCATCTTCATACTTCATTCCACATTCAATCAAAGCAAGTGCAACCAGCACAGGTGCCCTGCAAAAAGAAACCCATCTGTAAATAACCACAAATCTTTTGAATTATAAAGGATTTTTAGACACAGGATTGTCATACTTACTAAAGAAGAAGCACTTTTTACCTTAGTAAACAAAGTACTACAAGAGTATCTCTCTATCATCACAACTTCTTCTTAGCAAACCTCTTAATTTAAGGCTATGTCAAAAGATCTTTGTGTTCGAAATGTCATCATTTGTATCTGAAAACTCGTTAGGTCCGCCATCCAAAATGTAAAATTCTGGCCCCGACCATTATCACAGCAAAAGAACCAAATACATCTTCTATTCTTGTAAGAGTGCTTTCTAAATTCTCATTTCCAGGATGGTGTTAATACTTCCCCTCATTGGATGCCCCAAAATTGCTATAATCCTTTTTTGTTAGCTTAGGGAGAGAATATTGGAGGATTGGTAATTGGAAATAACTCCCAAGGTTATGCCTTTAAATCCAACACAGTCTACCAATTGCCATCCTAGATTATGAGCACAGAGCAGACACCAAAATGCCCAGACCTGGTCTGGAAAGCTCCCCTTAGCTTCAGGAGACACAACAGGAACTGCTTTCTAAGCTACTGAAAGGCAAGAACAAGCAAGTCTAGGGTATGAAAAGAACTGAGCCTGAGTCACCTTTATCTTGAGGCAAAAATAGTTTCAACTAATGTTCTGAGACCAAGTTCTTATCATAAATAGACAGTTTAATCTGCTGACCCAAAAGGTGCAATGCATTTTGGGATACTGCAAAAGGAAAAAGGCTTTTAAATCATAACAGTCACTAATCTTCATAAATCTCTTTAGGGAGATTAAAATAAAATTATCCATTCTCTTATAGTTTCCTCATTTAAAGTCAAAAATAATCATCTTTAAGGGTGTAAAACAAACTTCTAACTTAAAAACAGTAATAATTGCAGAATACAATAAGCTGAATATTTAATTGCTTGGAAAAGTCAAAGGAAAGGGAATGCTGGAAATCTGCAATGTCTTTTTTTTTTCCCCCTCCGGCTAGGCAGTAGAGATAAGTGACTTGTCCAGAGTCACACAGCTAGTTAAGTGTCAAGTGTCCGAGGCTGGATTTGAATTCAGGTGCTCCTGACTCCAGGGCCAGTGCTCTATCCACTGTGCCACATAGCTGCCCCTCTGCAAATGTCTTTGAATTCAGAGATATAAGGCAAATTACAATAAACTGATATTACCAACAAAGCATCTAATATACCAAATACCAAGATCAACTGTAGCAGGCAAAAAACCAATACAAGAAGTTGAATCCAAATAGATACAAAATCACCAGGCTTTACTCTCATTTTCTTTTCTTCAGGGCAATTTAATATTATTTAGTGTCGTTGTTTATGTTCAGTTGTTTCAGTCAATGTCCAACTCTTTGTGACTCACTTTGGGGTTTTCTTGGCAGAGATACTAGAGTGATTTGCCATTTCCTTCTCCAGCTCATTTCACAGATGAGGAAACTGAGGCAGAGAACATTAAGTGACTTGCCCAGGGTCACACAGCTATTAAACGTCTAGGCCAGATTTCAACTCCACTAATCCTGACTCCAGGCCTGGCGCTCTTTGCACTGTGCCACCCAGCTGCCCATTACTCAGCATAATGAATGCCAATTCCTGACAAACTGAAACCTTCAGTTGACTTACCTCAGCATGCTAATGAATTCACTGAAAAAAGGCCAACCACTTACCTTCCCAGCCCTGCAACACAGTGCACAGCAACGCAGCAACCCGGCTCTTCTCGAAATTTGCTTTTTAATAGGTTTAGCCAATCATCTACTATCTGATTAGGAGGTGGAGCTCCATCATCAAATGGCCAGTCCTTTGAAGTAATAAAAGACCAGTACATTGAGTTTATCCCCAAAAGAATATCATAATATAATATATACATACTATGAACAAGAAAGCCTGGCTAATACATTAAAAATTATTCTTTTCATGCATATTCCTGATCCCTGCTGGAAAATGGTCCCATCTAAATTACAATAGGTATCCAAATCTACCCAAATAAATTAACCTTAAGGTATCATAATAATCAATCCCTATGCATCTAATTTTATCTGGTACAAGTTACTTCACCAGAGTTACAATATAGACTTTACAAAAAAATTAAAGCCTGGTATTTTACCAAACATACTAAGAGTTCAATAGTAATTCAGACATTCACATTATAATTAAATCCACGAAAAAGTAAAAAGAAAAAAAAAGGAGAAAATATGCCAATGGCTTTAAAATGGTACACATGCAGAAGTCTATTGAGCAAACAGAACTGCATGACTGCAAACATCTCTGAAGTATCACCTTCAGACTGTTCTAAGTTATGAAAACAGGCCTCATTTGTACTACTCTGAAATCTCCAATGGCTCAATGCCTCTAACCGAAACACTCAATCATCATGATCTGCCCTCACAGAAGAGGAAAAGTGCCAAATATTCGAAAAACCCTGCCTGAACTGTGCTTCATAAGCAGAGGACAGCCACATGATAGGATCCTGTACAAAGAGAGGACAATTCTGGAATAGCCCATTTCCTTTTGGATCTTGACTTGGTTCTGCCCTGGTTTCAATTAAGAGCCTCTGGCAAACACACAGGATGGGTCAGGGTCTGAGGCTCCTTCCTATCTGGTAGGAAGGAGTCCTGAAAAAAACAAAGCATGGCAACTTTAATAGGAAAAAGGAGGATTACCATTCCAGGAAGCCTCTCCTTGTCTATAAGAACAACAGTTGGCATTTATAAAGTCCTTTAAGGTTTACAGACCACTTTACTTTTGATCCTCAAAACATCATTCTAAGGTTTAAAGATACAAGTATGAGCCATCTCATTTTACAGATGAGGAAACTAAATAAAGTAGACAGATGTAAAGGAATTTGTCCCAAGTCACTTACCTACTTGAGTGACATGCAAATACAGGCCCTTGACTCCAAATACAGTGCTCCTTCTACTATACTAAAGTGTCTTCCTATTGAAGAGGAAGCATGGTGTCAGTGTCATAGAAAGAGTGCTGGACTAATAAGCCCAGAGATCAGGATTCAAATCCTACTTCTGACATCAGCTGTGTGACTACAGACAAAACTCTCCACCACTCAAAATGGGAATAACAATATACGTAATTTTCTATTTCTGTCTAGGGTTCCATCATCCTTCTAGTCACTCAGGTTCTTTCACCCCACATATCTAATCAATCAAATCAAACGTTTTGTTTCTACTTCCCCAACACTTCTCCCATCTGCTCCCAGGTTTCTAGTCATACTGGCCCTCATAACTTGCCTGGGTTACTGGAAGGGCTGCCTATTCCCTCTAGGATCAAATACCTTAGTTTGGCATTTAAAGCTCTTCACAACCTTCTTTTCCAGGTTTACACACTTTATTCTCCTCTCTGCACACTATACACTAGGTCTGGTACAGCCAAAATGGCCCTTTTCCTGCTTTACACACACAGCACAACCTCTCCTGTCTCCTGCCCCAGCTAGGGGTCTCCCAGGCCTACAGCTGGCACCCTTTCTCACCATCATCCCATAGAATCCCTTGCTCCCTTCACAGCTGGCCTCAGAAGCTGTTTTCTTCATTAGAACTCCCCTGGTTCCACCACCTAAGAGTGATCAGCCTCTTCCCCCTTAATCCTGGCAAACTTGTGCATGCTGTCTCTCAGCTGGGATGTAAGCTCACTGATATGAAAAATCACCTCCCCCTGCTTGTTTTATAGAACTGGGGAACCATGGGTTTGTTATAACATCAGACTTTTTCAACTAATGGCTAATTAGGTGAACTTTTCCTTCCCTTTTGTATTCTTAATTATAAGAGATGGGTCTCCAGGAGGAAGGAGGGATGGGAATTGTGGGGGGCCACACAGTGCAGAAATAGGCAATTAGGCAAAAACAAAAGGTATCAATAATTTTTTTTAAAAGAACTTAAGCTCCCTGAGCGCAAGGACTGCTTGGGTCTTGTTTCTATATCTCCAACACCTAGTGCATTGACTGGCACATAATAGATACATTGACTGGCACATAATAGATGATTAATAAATGCTGACTGGAAAAAATAAATAAATAAAAGAAAAAAAATGCTGACTGAAATACTTCACAGGACTGTTGAGATAAAGGATATAAAGTGCTTGGTAAAACTTGAAGTACTCTGGGATTTATCTGGGTGGCATAATTAACACATAGTTTTTGGACTTTAAGTCAGGAAGACCCGAATTCAAAACCTGTCTCAGGCACTGCCTAGGTGTGTTCTAAGGCAAGTCACTTTCAACTCTCTCAGCCTCAGAGATCTCACCGTAAAATGGGGGTGATTTTCTCATCTGCCTCCAGGGTTACCGTGATGATCCAACGAGATAACATGAGTAAAGTACTCAGAAAACATCAAAGCTTATATAAATGCTATTATTACTATTGTTCTGGTCATTTCGGTGTTTCAGTCTTATTCAACTCTGACCTCATCTGAAGTCTTCTTGGCAAAGATATACAGGAGTGGTTTGCCATTTCCTTCTCCAGCTCATTTGACTGAGAAGGAAACTGAGGCAAACAGGGTAAAGTGACTTGCCCAGGGTCACACAGCTAGTAAGTCTCTGAGGCTGGATGTGAACTCAGGAAGGTGAGTCTTCCTGACTCCAGGCCCAGCACTCTGTACACTGCACCACCTAGCTGCTCTACCCCCACCATCATCATCATTATTATTATTATCATTATCATTACTACTAAGCTCTTATACCACTCCAACAGTCTCCTAATTGGTATCCCATCTAATTCCCATACAGTTACCAAATTAATATTCCAAAAGCATAAGTCATACTTAGGTCTCTCCTCAGCTCAAAAAGCTCCAACGCCTACTGCTAACTCTTCTGCTTGGCATTTTAAATCCTTCACAAATTGGTTCCATTCTACCTCTCTGGGCTTATTACAAATTACTCTTCATTATAAACTCTCTATTCCAGTCAAATGGTCCATTGCTAGCCCTCACCTCTAACAACCACACTCAGGCTGTCTTCCACATAAAGAATGCCCTTTCTTCACCTCTACCATTTTTTACAGACCAGCTCAAGTCCTAGCTCCCACCAGAGGCCTTTCTTGATTGTCAACCTTCACCCCTGAAATTACTGCGTGTTTATAGACCAAAAGTTCTTTGAGGGCTAGGACAGTAGTCCAGCACCCCACCTAGAATTTAAGTAGGCACTCAATGAGCATTTGTTGGATGACTGACTAGTTGACACTCAATGATTATTACTCTTCAAGGTGGATAACGGACACTGAGATGCTGGACCCTGAGAGACAGAAAAAAATATGATATTCCTAAGGACTCCCCAAGCACACAACACAAAAAGGCAGACGCAAACCAAAAGGTGACAGGCCATCGAGATCCAAACTGTACTCAGTCCCATCAACACCAAGACCCTTCATTTAGCCTAGTAGCCAAGCTGGCACATTACAATTCAAGCTGTCAGCTGCTCCCCATAATTAAGGCGCTGTCAGAATTAGCTGTATAAATTCTACTCTTCTAGAATTTTAATTGTATGCAGCCATGCCCTCCATCTTGGTTCACTTTCTGCACTAGTCCCCAAAATACACTTAAACAGCAACATGAAACACGATGCACCTGCATTTCTCTCTTCTGAAGCAGTTTCCATCAAAACATCAAACCATTTTCTCCCCACTAAAGTCACAATTTAATAGCCTCTGAACCTTAAGTCATCATATCTGGAATTATCTTCATCCTATCCTAGTGTATCATAAATCTGAAGAATTCTTCATTGGGTTAATCTTACCTAATTTTATATAACTACTTTAAAGGACATGCCTTGCAGGTGCAGAACACATTACTAATCAATAAAACCACACATTACCTTCCAATTCACCTTCAAACAACTAGGTGTGAAAAAGAGAGAAATTCTAAACTTAGTTCTACATGTCCTTGGTTTTTCAACTTAAGTTAGGCATTTAATTTTACCTATCACAGATGGGGTTTTTTTCCCTAAAGAAACTGGCCAGCATCAACTTTAGAGTAACCTGATGCCCACTCAAAACCAGCTCAACTTTTGACTGTATGATGATATTTACCAAAACTACTGATTCAAAAGAGCTACAATCAATTCTTTTTTTTTTTCCTTTTTTTGGTGAGGCAATTGGGGTTAAGTGACTTGCCCAGGGTCACACAGCTAGTAAGTGTCATGTGTCTGAAGCTGGATTTGAACTTAGGTCGTCCTGACTCCCAGGCCAGAGTTCTATCTACCACACCACCTTACAATCAATTCTTATCTCCATCTTCTCACCCTAACTCCTGTAACAAAAAAAAAAAAAAAAAAAAAAAAAGCTAATTTCCCATCTGCCTAGTGTAGATATAGCCACAAAAGAGAATGAATTTGCAGATCTCAGTTTTAGAGTCAAAATGGTCATGATACTTTGGAACTTGACATACAACTCAGAAGGGGTCAGTCACAAACAGGGCCTACCAGCTAAGAATAGTTTTTACACTTTTTAAATAAAATTTTATTGTATTTAAAAATGTAGAAGCCATTCTTTGCTCACAAAAACAGGCTGCTATGCCCTCAAGGCAAAAGTTTGCCAACTCCTTAAATACATATATTCTGGTCAGAAGGGTGGCACAGATGTTATGTGTAAATTTCTATGTTATCTAGACATTTTGGGGAAAAAAATAATTACATGTTATGTTCCTATTTTTTAAACTGTCATATATTTAAATACTGACACATAATTTCATATTGAATACCTGATGGAGAAAATTTTGCTACCATCATCAACCTTTTCCATAGAAATCCAGAAACTATAAGAGAAAACAGTTTGAGGAATGCTTAACTAAATATTACAAT